TTTGGGTGACCGCCTATTTTATCTTGTGAAAATTAGTTCATTTTCTTTAAAATTTAAGAACAGATTTTGATCTTCACTGTGCTTTTGGACAGATAATATTAAATGTTATGTGCCTTTTAAGCTCTTCGAAAGGAGGACTGTGTCATCTGCGTGGCAAAGTTCTGGAACAAGGTTTGCCACCAGTTTTGAGCGGATCATAACAGTTACAGGTCTGGGTCATTTTTTGACATTTCTCATTATATTTTTTTGCGTTTATATAAAATAGGTATGGTGAGAGATTGCACCCCTGACCCACTCCCTTTTGCACTTCGAACCAATCCGATGTTTCACCAGCTTCTCTGATGGCTGCTTGTTGTTCATGATAAGATTTTCAATTTAAGTCACCAAATGTGCTTAGAAAACCCCATAGTTCTCATAATAGTCCACAGTTTTAGTGGTTAGTACCACACCTTTCTTTAGAAGCAAAATACCACGATAATACTTTTTAAACAATCAAATGTAGTAGTAAAATAAAAACAGTTTCTTTACAGCCGTATTGAAGTTATTGTTGTGAAAACGAATATTTTTTTTTCTATTTCACCTCTTCCTCCTCCTCCTTCCCTTCCCATCTTTCTCCTCCCCCCCCCCTTCTTCTTCTTCTTCTTCTTCTTCTTCTTCTTCTTCTTCTTCTTTTTCTTCTTCTTCTTTTTTTCTTCTTCTTCTTCTTCTTCTTCTTCTTCTCCGTACTCCGTACGAGGTTAATCAGAATGCTTTAAAGGGTAACAGCAGTCAAGCTGTTTGATATCTCTGTAATAGATCATGACCTCAAACGATGGTTGGCTGGGTCAAAATGTTTTTCTCTCCTCTGCATACCTAGAAAATTCTTTCATGAAATGCACATGTCTCATTTCTTTCATTTTCCCAGTTGCCTTTGTCTGTGTCCTTCACCGCTAATTTAGCAAAGGGTGTTTCGGAGACCTAAATAAAAACTTAACATAGGAGTAAGTGGTATTTCCGTATGCGGGGTTCTACTTGAAGAGATATAAGCTGTCCGATGATATAAATGTCGACTGGGGACAGCCAGATACTTTGGAATGGAACGTGCCGCCCCCCCCCCCCCCCGCTTTTCCACCCCCACCCCCTTCTAACCAAAATGCTCAAAATGCTGTTCAAAGTCAAATTTGTTAACTAAAAGCTTTGTGCACACATCTCACAGAAGCCAGCTTCAGGCCTCAGAAATTAGATATTTGAGAAAAGGTAGTCTAAGTGACAATACAGGACAAAGCTCGCAACTAGACAATACGTCCGGATTTTTGAGAGTCAAAAAAAAAAAAAAAAAAAAAAACTCACTAACTCGAGTGGGTCAGTCACAGTTACGATGGTTTTGACATGTATGCAGCATGAGAGAGAATCAATGGAAGGCTAAAAACCGTGGAACGAGACCTAGGCGATCAAAGGTTCGACAAATATTCGACACACTCTGATTGACATAGGATTGAAATGGAACAAAGCTTAAATTAAAACTGATTATAAAGAAGTCTGGCGATCTCTCTAGCAAACCTCTACACCCCAATACAGAAGAGGAGCGACTAAGTAAGTAAGTACGATGAAAACGTCTTTCTATAATCCAAGCCGTGTGACATTCATAATTCTGTGGATCCACGGCATTCTGTCTCGTACGCTACCAATAATTTCGTCTACAGATGTTCTCCCTTTATGAGCGACAGATAGGTTGCTACCCATAGCGAAGTGCTACATTATGCACAGTCTTGATGTGTTCCTTTATGGAGTAAAGAAGCATGTGTCTATTCCTTGTATCTGAGCGGAAGTATTACTCGATTTCATACTTTCGTCTTCAGGCTTTAAGGATCCTTCGGGAGAGGGAGGGGTGATGCGCTATACCCTACATGGTGGTTATTTACCCATTGTTTGATTTTGTGTGGGTGTGTGTGGTGTGTGTGTGTGTTTGTGTGTGTGTGTGTGGTAAAAGCTGTTTGCTCTATGGGATAATTCTGGAGTACGTATGAATGTTTTCGCTGTGCAATGAAATGAGTCGTTTACAATCCCCCAGCGAGCAATATGCCACTACCAATAGATTTAAAATATATTCATTAAATGACTAAACCATATACAAAGCATGTCAAATGTTTTACCTGTGCCAGCTGTTCGTGTGTGTTTAACATTGAAAAATCCAGCCGCATGTGATGCTCTTGCCCAAAAATCATCACACAAGTACGGGCGGTGTCTGGGCTCATCTGGTAATTGGAAGCATAATTTACGGCGAACTTCAGCTGATTCTGGTACTCATCATACCTTGGCGCCGTCTCAATCAGAAAGTGTATGTCTGCTTTGATGCGCAGGTTTGGAT